CTTGAGGTCAGTCTAGTCTACATAGTGAGTTCCAGGATAGCCAGGGATACACAGAGAAACCCTGTCTGGGATAACTGAACTGATCCAAACCAAATAAAAAATTATTTATAACTTGGCAGTTTCAGCCACACAGTATATTATTTTGCTTTGTTGCCAAAGGGAAGTCACATCAGACCAATATTTTTTTTTTTTTTTAAAGTTTCTCTGTGTAGCTTTGGAACTAGCTCTTGTAGACCAGGCTGGCCTCAAACTCACACAGATCTGCCTGCCTCTGCCTCCTGAGTGCTGGGATTAAAGGTGTGCGATGCCACTGCCTGGCTCAGATGAAGCACTTCTAAGCAGGGTGTTTGGCATCCCTATTGAGTTTCATGACTCTTAACTTACAGTCTCCATTTGCCATCACACTCTTAGTAAAATTGTTTAAATAAAGTGTGGTTATAGACTTAGAACAATGAGAAAATTTTAGGTGACCTTTTGACTTTTTAAAACTTTTATATGATTGAACTTCTTTCAGTGCTATTATTTTTCTGTATTGTTTTAGAAACTTTTTTCAGGCTGGGCATGGTGGTAAATGCTTTAATAGAGGCACACTGGAGGCAGAAGCCATGTGGATCTCTGTGAGTTTGAGGTTAGTCTGGTCTACAAAGCAAGTCCAGGAGAGCCAAACCAGTACATACTTAGACCCTGTCATAAAAATAAATATACAAATATAAAATAATAACTTTCTTCACGAGTTGGAAAAATGGCTCAGAGGACCAGGTTGCTGACTCCCCAGCAACACATGATTACTAACAACCTTCTGTAACTTTAGTTCCAGGGACACCCTCATCTGGCCTTCTCTGGTACTATATTCATATGATGTAGGTCAGACATACACGGTAAAGGTTACAGGTGTGCAACACCACATCAATTTATACAAAATCCAATGCTCTGGGGCATGCTAGGCTTGCCAACTCCCAGTCTCATATATAATTTAAAAAGGATACACGAAGGACTGGAGCGATGTCGCAGTGGGTCCTAATAGGCTTGCTATGTAAGTATGAGGGTCCTAAGTTAGGATTCCCAGTAACCAAGGAAAGCCAGCCTATAACCCCAGCTCTGGGTAGCAGAGATAAGCAGATCCCAGGGACTCAACAGCACACCAGTCTAGCCAAAACAGGTTGACTGACAGATCCTGTTTCAGGGTCAGAGAGATCGGCCAATTCTGAAGACCTGAGCTTGACATCCAGAGCCCACATGGTAGAAAAAGAGAACCAACTCCTGTGAGTTGTCTACATACTCACTCCAACACACATAAAATATAAAACACTGGATAATCCCTTGAAACCACTCATACAATCAGACGTCACATCTTACCTTCTGAACACACAAAACACCAGCTGACATTAACATGCTCGTGATTTCGGCAGCCCCGCCTAGGGGTGAAGTGATTAGGGCAGATGATACTATTAGATGCAAGGATTTTTGACCCAGCAGCAAGACAAAAGTCATTAGCATGGTATGCCACAGGACAGCGGACACAACGCATCAGACGACCTACATTTATGGAAAGCAGAGAAAAGGGGGAGGAACAATAGAAAAAGATTACATATGGAAATAAAGTGTATTATGTAAGTGTGTTTGCCATCAGAGAGAACGACTACCTAAAAACATGGCTCTTAAACACGTAACTCACTATTAACAATAAGAGTAGGACTGCACAACTATAACCTGTCTCAGCAAGGAGATAACTGCCTCAAATCCTGTAATGCCAGAAATAGGTCCAAATTAAAAGAAATGGACTCAGGAGGCAGAGTTTGAGGTTAGCTTGGTCTACAAAGAGTTCCAGGTAAGCCAAAGCTACATAGAAAAAACTTGTCTTGAAAAAATCAAAATACCGCCGGGCGTTGGTGCCACACACCTTTAATCCCAGCACTTGGGAAGCATAGGCAGGCGGATCTCTGTGAGTTCGAGCCCAGCCTGGTCTACAAGAGCCAGTTTCAGGACAACCTCCAAAGCCACAGGGAAACCCTGTCTCGGAAAAACCAAAAATGAAAAGAAAAATGAAAATACCAGAAAAAAAAAAAAGAGAGAGAGAGAGAGAGAAAGAAAAAAAAGATTATAAAAGAGCAGTACTGGTTGGCTTAGTACTCTCTGATGCTTGTTTCCCAGATGAATATCCTAATATACCTCAGCAAGTAAAAACCAGTATCAAACTACTTAAATCAACAACAATTAAAAGGGGATATAAAATAAAATACACTGCCTAGAAGACGTTTTCAAACAAAATCTATGATAAATATTTTATCATATTTTAAATATTTTAAACCACCAATTCCACAGAGTATTAGTGGAATTCATCACTCTATTAGGCCACAATGTTGCTACTTTACCAAAGTGACAAGCAGGAGTCTATGAAGAGATGTTCCAGATTGCACTTGAAAACAACCAAAGTCTTATAACCCATACCTTTAGAGGCGGACACATTGGCTGGGTTAGCAGCATGGCACGTTATGCAGATGTGAAGGGGGCACCTGAAGCCCTTGTTCTGCGTGACGGTTGGCGGGTACTTCTGAACACATTCTTCATGGTAAAACTTCCCACATAAAGGCAGAAGGCACCTTTTGACATCTTCCCCACTCTGCTTACACACAAAACAGGTATGGATCCCTGGGAAAGGTAAGAGGCAACAAATTAAAATGACAAGAATCTACCCCAATCTAAGACATTAGGTGTTAAGTTAGTGAAGAACTTTATAAAATTTATCAAAGTGACAAAATCTGACCCTAACAAGTGGGCTATTTGATCTGATATGTGCTTTATTGGTATGATGTAACAGAGTGTGTACTAAAGGGTCCACAAAGCATTCCTGTCAAAAGAGAAACTCAATTTGAGCGAATCTAGACTCTAGATCCAACTACATTGTAGGCAATACAGAAAACACAGGAACAAAGGGCTGGCCAAACATCCCAGTGGAGATAAGTGCTTGCTTTCAAGCCTTATTTCTGGTTTGTGTGGCAAAATTCCTAACAAAGCAAGTTACAGAAGAAAGGGTTCATTTTAGCCTATAATCTCAAAGTAGGGTCTATCGCGACAGGATATCAAGGTGGCAGGAACTTGAAGCAACTAGTGCTATCCAGTCAGGAGTAGAGAGAATGAATGCACGGGTTGTACTTTGAGACTGGATTTTGCTGAGTCAATTAATTTAAGGTAGTTTCCTGCAGACATGCCCACAGGCCAAGCAGATGTAGGAAGTTGTTTGTGAAACTTTCTGGGGAATTTTGAGCTCTGAACACAGAGATCCACCTACTCAACCTGCCTCTGAGACGCTGGGGTTAAAGGCTTGTACCACTGTATTCAACACCATGCTTACCCTACTCAGATAATTTTACATAAGGTCAATTTGACAACGAAACTGTCACAGTCAGTTTTTGTCCTTTATAAAAAGTTTTAATTTATTTAGATTTATTTATTATGTATATAGTGTTCTGCCTACACAACAAAAGAGGACATCAAATCCCTTTATTGATGGCTGTGAGCCACCATATGGTTGCTGGGAATTGAACTCAGGACCTCTGGAAAAGCAAACAGAGCTCTTAAACCTCTGAGTCATTTCTCCATCTTTCTTTTTCTTTTCTTTTTTTTTTAAATACCTTTGAGACAAATGGAAAAATCTGAAAATGAACACAGAAGTTATTACAACTCTTGAAAATACATTAGCTTTGCTTTTGAAAGTTCTGTTAGAAGACATCAATGAGCACCTGTAGACTCTACGTATGTACATGTTTGTAAGTGGAGCTCAAGGTTGACACACAAGGTGCTCCTCAGTCACTTCCAACCTTCGATTTGTGTAATTATTTATTTTTGGTTTTGGTTTTTCAAGATAGGGTTTCTCTGTGTAGCCCTGGCTGTCCTCGAACTCACAGACATCCTCCTGCCTCTGCCTCCCAAGTGCTGGGATTGAAGGTGTGCACCACCACCGCCCGGCACATGCAAACTCTTAAAACAGGAACTCATTTAACTAAAATACCCATCTATAAATACTGAGATCACTCAGTCAATAAAATCTAAGGAAGGAAAAATGTGAATTATGTATTTGTAAAGACAAGTGGATACTACAGACCTGCTATTATTCAATTAGAGCAACCTAAGCAATGAGATGATCACCCTAGTACAGTAAAACAGGGAGAGCCACAAAGTAAAGAAATAACATCTTTGTTATCTGTCTGGAAGAAAGTAAAATATCTTTCTTAAAAAAAAAAAAAAAAAATGCTGGGCAGTGGCCTTTAATCCCAGCACTTGGGAGGCAGGAAGATCTCTGCAAGTTTGAGGCCAGCCTAGTCTACAAAGAGTTTCAGGACAACCAGGCTGCTGTACAGAGAAACCCTGTCTTGAAAACACACGCACGCGCGCGCGCAATGTGAATGTATCCTGCATGTACACCTTATGCCAAAGAGGGCGTCAGATCCCACTATGATGGTTGTGAGCTACCGTGTGGGTGCTGGGAACTTAACTGAAGTTCTCTGAGGTCCTCTGCAAGAGCAGCCAGGGCTCTTTACTGCTGAGCCATCTCTCAAGCCCCCCAGGTAAAACATCTTGTACTCATACAGCCTCAGGCTGAGGACACAATTCTGTAATACACTGCTTCCTAGCCTGCCCAAGACTCTGAATCTAACTACCAGGCCCAGGGGGTGAGGATGGGGGTGGGGGTTCTCTATACTTCAAACCACATGCACAAGTTACTTTAAAATAGATTATACATTTAAATATGAAGACGAAAACTATAAAAATCACAGATGATAAACTAGTAGAGAAATGTGACACTGATTTAAGCTGTATTTCTTAAACATGACATAAAATACAAACTGAAGTTGATAAAGTAGGGACCAGAGATGGCTCAGTGGTTAAGAGCACTGGCTTTTTTTCCAAAAGACCCAGGTTCAATTCCCAGCACCCACATGGCAGCTCACAACCAACTGATGTCCTCTCCTGGTCTTTGCAGGCACCAGGTATGCAGGTGGTATGGTATATACACATACATGCAGGTGGTGTGGTATGTACACATACATGCAGGCAGGCAGAACGCTCAGAACACATGCCAAACTGTACTTTATCAAAACGTAAAATGTCTGCTCCTCTGAGGACATTAAGAAAGTGAATCTAAAGATAGGCATGTTAGCGTACACTTTTAATGCCAGTACTTGTAAAGCTGGGGGAGGCAGATCTCTGTGAGTTCAAGGCCAGTAAGGTCTATATGGTGAGTTCTAGGCCAGCCAGGGCTAGCTCTTTTCTTGTCTCAAAAAGAAAAAAGAAAATGAACCTCATCAGAGAACTACAAACACAAATCCTGAGCCAGGAATAATAGTATATGTTTGCAGTACCAACAATGATAAGAGGTTCTAGAGAACTGAGAACTCTGCAGTGATAACGAATAGAATTGATAGAGCAGCAAGCAGAGGATGAGTAGGGCATGAGTTCAAGGTCAGCCTGGACTCCACAGTAAAATGCCAACTCAAAGAATAAAGAAAAACTAGAGGAGAAAGGTGAACAGATCAACACACCAGGAAATACTACATGAGTTTGGTCAGCGTAAGGACATTTTAGATGTGACCCTAACAATAGAGAGCAAACAAAACACAGGCAAATCAGATTTTAACATAGTAAAAAAGCTAGTCACGATGGCTCATACCTATAATCTTAGAATTTAAGAGGCTGAGGCAGGAGGATTGTAGGAAGCAATGTTTAGCCATTTGGGCTTAAAAATGACTGTCTAAAAATCAAAACAAAAACAACAAAAACAACCCAAACACATAAAAAAGAAACAGTGAACATAGGGAAGAGACAACCTAAGCAACAGAAGACATTGTTTGTAAACTGAACATTAACAAAGGAATAATATTTAAAATATATAAATAAAGAACTAAGTGCCAGCACTGGCGGCTATAATGGCATTTTAGAGAAAGGCAGAATGAGAAGAACTGTCAGGTGAGGATAGGAAGAAGAGAAAGAGGGAGTGGAGACAGTCCCACAGAGCACAGGAAGGACTTTGCTTACAGGGAGCAGCTATACATGTAGCTTGAATTCTGACTAGTTTTAATAATAAAAACCCAGTGTCAGATATAGGGGATAATGCTCAAAGATCAGAGAAGCAGAGCAGCCAGCCACGGATTCTTACCTCTACTGAATCATTAGACCAAAGGGGTGATCCTGTCTTTAGGAATGAATCCTCAGACTGAATGCTGTCTCTAGGAAACAGACTGAATGCAATGAGCTCCTGTCTCTTCCTACCTTTTTTGTTTTTTTAAAGATTTTATTTACTTATTTATTTATTATGTGTGCAACATTCTGCTTCCATGTATATCTGCACATTAGAAGAGGGCACCAGGGCTGGAGATGGCTCAGCCGTTAAAGGCTAGGCTCACAACCAGAAGAGGGCACCAGATCTCATAACAGACGGTTGTGAGCCACCATGTGGTTGCTGAGAATTGAACTCAGGACCTCTGGAAGAGCAGTCGGTGCTCTTAACCACTGAGCCATCTCTCCAGCCCGATTGTTTAGAGATTGTATTTATTTATTTATTATGTATACAACATTCTGCTACCTTAACCAGCCATTATCACTCCTGTTTCAACCTCCCTAGAATGAAAGGTGTGGCCACCACTGCCTAGTCTCTAGGACTAACTAGTGACTTTGCTCTGCACTCTGATCTTCAGGAAAGCTTTATTTGTTAGATCACAAACAAAATATCCCCACATATACATCCGCTGCTTTTTTTGTTATACTATCCCTACTTCACCCCCTTCCCCCTCATCCCTAGCTATGGCTGGGCAGATACGCCTTCCCTTCACTGACTCTCAAGCAGCAAGGAGCAGACCACAGCAGCAGTGGAAGTAGTAGCAGAAAGAGCAGGCAAAGAGGAAGATGGTGAAAACAAGCAAACAAACAAAAAAGCCAGGCAGTGGTGATGCATGCCTAATCTAATCCCAGCACTGGGGAGGCAGAGGCAGTCCTATCTCTGTGAGTTTGAGGCCAGCATGGTCTACAAAGTGATTTCCAGGACAGCTAGGGTTACACAGAGAAACTCGGTCTGGAAAAAAACAAAACAAAACAAAACAAAAGGGGGGGGTGGGGGGGGAGAGGAAGGAAAATGGTGAAATGGCTCTGACCTTGGTAGATTGGCATGAGATACAACAACAAAGACACGGTAGGAAAAAAACAAACAAACAGTTTACCATTTCATTCTGCATTGCTATTAAACATAGTTTATCATTTCATTCTGCATTGCTATTAAGGAGGCTGCAACAGCATGTGATCAAGCTCAGAGGAGGTGAGGTACAGAAAAACTTACATATGAAACAAAGGGATCAATCTCCATGGAAAGAATAATTGCCCAATGTAATTTCTAAAAATGATTGCTGCACGGTTTAATCTACAAGAATAGCTTTACACATTTGCTGCACAGCAATATCATCCGAAAAGGGCAGTGCAAGATTCAGGCTTATGTCTACTGCGCTACTGTTTCCCTATTCTAGCATCCTCAGAAAGAATCCCATCCCATTTCTGCTTTGCAGAAAGCAAAGGTGCACCTAAACACACTTTTTTTCTTCATCCTGACAGTGCTTCTAGGTCCCCCACCTTATCAACTTTGCTATAGGATCTCTTGGCAGTGATAGTAATGTGGTGATACTCTGTGATGTAACAATTAAACTTGCTTGAAGATCAGAGTGCAAAACTAAGCCACTAGTTAGCCATAGAAGCCAGGCAGTGGTGTAACACACCTTTAATCCCAGTGGGCGGCAGAGGCAGATGGATCTTTGTGAGTTCAAGGCCAATCTGGGCTACATGAGATTGGTCCAGTCTAAAAGAGAAACAGCTCACACCTTTGATCCTAGCACTAGGATGTTTAAAGGGTTAGGTATGACCATGACATAGCATGGAATCTGCACATTGCACCCCATATAGATATACAGTAATTGTGTCAGCAATTTTTAAAACCAAAGCAATGGAGCTGGAGACATGGCTCAGCAGCTAAAAGCACTTGCTACTCTTCCCAAGGACCTGAGATTCTTTCCCAGCACCTATACTGAGTAGCTCACAATTGCCTAAACCACGAGCTTGGAGACTACTAGTCTCTGAGGACATCCAGATATACCTGACATGAAATCATAATGGCCATACATTAAAATTTACAGATAAAAAAAATAATTTTTTTAACTAAAAAAAAAAAATCCTAAGTCATATCCAGGTGTGGTGGCGTACACCTACAGTCCTGGCACTTAGGAAACAGAAAAGGAGTATCAGGAGAGTCAAGGTCTTGCTCAACTACACAGTAGGATTAAGGCTGCAGCAAACTATCTAAAATCACAACAAAAACATAATTTAAGCCACAGACTAGAGAATATTCCAAAAAGCCTATGAGAGAGCTTTTATATTCAGAAGATAAAAAAAGCAGGGCATGACGGCACCTCCTTCATGCCTAGCACTTTCAAGGAAAAGGCAGGCAGATTTCTGAGCTTGAGGCCAGCCTAGTCTATATATTGAGTTCCAGGCCAGCCAGGGCTGCATAGTCTCCATGGCCCTGGTGGTTTGAATAGAAGGAGGCAAATAGGCACAAGAAAAAGATGATCAGCACTGCTTGTCAGTAAATGCAAACTCAACAGGAGACTCTACCATACAGCTACCAGCACAATAAAATGAAAGACACTGACTGACAAGGGAGGAGAAACAAACCCTAAGAAACCACAGAGGAGAATGTAAAATGGTGCAATCTCAATTAATTCTTGGCAATTTCTTAGAGTTAAAGCTATTCTACCATATAATTTACATATTCTACTCAGGTATTTGTTCATCCAAGAGTAAAAAAAAAAAAAAGCTTTATTTTTAAAGGCCCAAACCATAAACACCCAAATGTCAATCAACACATGAATGGGTAAACAAAGTAGTAAATACCTACAATTAGGTCCTATTCAACTATGAAAAGTCTTTTCTAAGATTAGGATAATGAACTATAATATAAGCAACAATGTTGGTACTTTGTAATTATGCTGAATTATGATTTCTCAGGCATTTACATATGTACAAATTCAAACATCACAACATGTCAAACTGCACACTTTATCATTTTGATACAGGGTCTCACTATGCAGTTCTGGCTGGCCTGGAGCTAGCTATATAGACCAGGCTGGCATCAAACGCACGATCTCCACCTGCCTCATGAGTGTACTGCCTTACCCAACACCAGCACCATCACCATTATCATCATATTTTGGAAGAGGCCAGAGGAAAATTTGTAGGAGTAAGTTCTTTCCTTCCATCATGTAGGTTTTGGCATCAACAACTCACGTTTTCAGACTCTGTGGCAGGCACCTATATGGGCTTCAGTCATCTTCCCCCCACCCCACTTTTTTTAAAGATAGCATTTCATGGGATTGGAGAGGTGGCTCAGCAGTTAAGAGTACTAGCTGTTCTTCCAGGACACAATTTTAATTCCCATGGTCCACATGGTAGCTCACAAATGTCTTTAAATTCTAATTTCTAGGGGATCTGATATCTTCTTCTAGCCTACTCATGCACCAAGCATATAAGTGATTCATAGCCAAACATGCATGCAAAACACTCATAAAACACCAAAACAAGGCTGGAGAGATGGCTCAGCAGTTAAGAGCACTGTCTGTTCTTCCGAAGGTCCCGAGTTCAATTCCCAGCAACCACATGGTGACTCACAACCATCTCTAATGAGATCTGGTGACCTCTTCTGGCCTAGACATACATGCAGGCAGAACACTACACACTAAATAAACAAATCTATCTTTAAAAAAACTACCAAAACAATTTTTTTTTTTTTTTTGGTTTTTCGAGACAGGGTTTCTTTGGGTAGCTTTGGAGCCTATCCGGGCACTCACTCTGTAGACCAGGCTGGCCTCGAGCTAACAGAGATCTGCCTCTGCCTCCCGAGTGCTGGGATTAAAGGCGTGCGCCACCAACGCCCGGCCACCAAAACAAATTTTAACAGTAACAAAAATTAAAAACCAACCAACCAACCAACCAAACGACAAAAAAGGCACACACAGACATAAACACATTGAAAACAAAACAAAAGGACCTTTTTGGGCATAGAAGGTAGAGGCTGGGGGCTCCTTTTGAGTTTGAGGCCAGCCTGGTCTACTCTAGGATTACAGAGAAACCCTGTCTTAAGGGGGAGAAGGACCTACACCTATTGGTGCAGGCCAATATAGGCCTTCAGCTCACACTTCAACTGACTGTATGTGCTACCACACTGTACACTATATGTACCTCAATAGAGGAGGAATGTTGGTTTATACGTACAATTACAACACTCAGGAGGCCAAGGCAGAAAGAGTGTCAGGAGCTCAAAGGAAGCCTTGGTTATGGTGTGAGGAAGAGGGAGTGGAGAAGGATCTACTGATAAACACAGATGAATCTCAAAGACATTATTACACTGAGGTCACACAGAAAAGATGCAGACTATTTGGTTTTATATGCAACTCTTAAAAACAGAAACAGCTTTACCTCGGGAGCAGTTAATTCAGAGATCATTTTAGAATGATAAAGATAACAAGGCAATTCTATTATTCATGTAAGACGTTCTAAGGGCTAGGACCTCATAGTGTCCACATCTGCATGTTCAACAAGCTTACTGTTGTCAGGAAGTGGCATCTTCAATACACTTTTCCTAACACATTTAAAGTTCTGACCGTTAGATGGCAGACCTTCTGCTTTACCTGTACGACACTCATTGCAGATGAATTTCCCTCGAGGCATCTCAGTTAGGCCAAGGCACTCCAGGTGGAAAGCCCCACAGCACTGAGCCTCACACAACAACAGCTCACCCAGTTTCTCACAGTTCTGTAAAGGAAAAGAAACAGACGTGTCAGTAGAAAGACTTTAGAAAACTCCCAAATGAAGAGCCCTCACGAGAGCAAAGATTAAGAAACACCATTGCAAAATCTGTGAAATCCCATCATTTATTCAATTAATATTTAATAATTACTTCCTATGTGCCAGTCAAAAGATGGTTTTGATGGGGGAGAGATAACACAAACCAATAAAAAAAACAAAACAAAACAAAACAAAAAAAACCAGTTGTCTTAGTTACTTTTCTTGTTGCTGTGATAAAGTACCCCATAAAGGCAATTTAAGAGAGAAAGGTTTATTCTGGCTCACAGTTCAAGATACAGTCAGTCTACCGTGGGGGGGGGGGGGGGGGAAAAAAAAAGAGTTTTGTGCAGCGTCACACACACATCATCCAAAATCACCAACCAGAAAGCAATGACCTGCTTTATCTCAGCTCACAGCCTGGAACCTCAGCCATGAGAATGGCATCATCCACAGTGGGCAAATTTCCCCACTTTATTTAATTAACCCAATCAAGATGATCCCTTATAGGCAAGACCATGAATCCCTTACAGGTGTACCTGGAGGTGATTCCAAATCCGGTCAAATCGATAATTAACACTAATAACACAGGAAAGAGATCAGATAATAATCAGTATTAGGTAGAGATGCTCTCATTTGTGTAGCTAACCTCTTGGGTTGGCGTTTTCCTTCTAGTACTTTCTGTAGGGCTGGGCTTGAGGATAGGTATTTGCTTAAAATTTTTTGTTTTTTGTTTTTTTTGTTTTGTTTTGTTTTGTTTTGAGTCAGGGCTTCTCTGTGGCTTTGGAGGCTGTCCTGGAACTAGCTCTTGTAGACCAGGCTGGTCTTGAACTCACAGAGATCCACCTGTCTCTGCCTCCTGATTAGTGTTCGACACCAACGCCCAGCTTAGAGATTTCAAATAGCTTACTTGGCTTTGGTTATGAGGATAACACCTTAGGTCAGGGTCTGAACAAGTTAGGCTGTGAAGAGACAAAGTCAGGTAGCACAAAACCCACAGGTAGGAAAATGTGATTGGAAAAAAAAAAAAAAGTCAAATAAAGCCACCATTATTTTTACTAAAGTGAAAACAGGTCACAATTGGCAGAAAGTGACATAAAAAAAGACAAGGGTCCATAATTTCATGCTGTATTCTAATTGCAAAGAAGGACCATTGGAGAGCTTTGCCAAATAAAGGCTGAACTCCATGCTCATTTTAAAAAGATCCCTATAGCCGCTTATTGGAAGATGAATCCAAGAACAAAGTTAAGAGGACACAAACCAGAGAGCTGTGCAGGGCAGTTCAGCCTTTGGGACCTGGTACTAACAGTACCAGAATAAGAGCCCTTTGTGAGGTATCTCAAATTATTTCATAAAAAACATATCCCCTTGTACCCCTCTCACTGGGAACCAAACAAAGCTTTGGGACCACCAAGAAAGAGGGACATCACATCACTGATAGTCTCATGGAAGACATGGTGTCACTAAAGGGAAGAAGAGCCTGATGAAATGAGGATATTATCTCTCATTACTTTTTATCCCGTTTGTATGTACACACTAACAAAAATAAGCCTTATACTATCAACTAGGAACACCCTCATACCAAAATATGTGAACACTCAAGTCCTCCATACAAAATAACAAAGAAACCTGCATATTACATACACAATCCTTTTGTATACATTAAAACACTTATAAATTATAACACATTTTATAGCATACATGCTATGTAAATAGCTGCACCTTGAAAAACAGTATAACAACAAAGAATCTGTATGAGGCTGAGGAGATGACTTAGCAAAGTCCTTGCTGTGCAAGCATGAGGAACTAAGTACAACCCCTAAAACCCACACAAAAAGCTGGGCATGGTGGCATACACTTGTAAACCCATGCTGGGGAAACAGATGGACAAATTCCTGGGTCTTGCTGGCCAGCCAGCCTACCTAAACAGCAAAGCCTAAATCCCAGTGAGAGACCCTGCCTCAAAAATCAAAATGGATAGGGCTTGGCATGGCAGTGCACATCTTTAATCCCAGCACTGATGAGGCAGAGGTAGGAGTATCTCTATCAGTTTCAGGAGAGCTAGGTCTATCTATGGAGCTCCAAGTCAGCCCAGGCTACATAGTAAGACTCTGTCTCAAGGCAAAAGAAGAAAACAAGTGGACACCCCCAGAGGCACGACAGCCTGCTTTTGACTTCTGGCTTTGACCATGCATAGGCACATATGTATGCTCACACACATATACACACACAGTCACAAAATACAAACACCTGCACACATGTTTGTGTGTACCCCTCCCAATAAATCTGTATATGTTCAGTACAGACTCACCCATCAACTACTACAGTACACATCATAAACAATATAAACAAACTTTCCCAAAGCATTTTTCCATCTATACAATTTGTTGAATCCACAGAAACCAAAATGTACTATCTGTAACAAATCAAAGAAACAGCCAGTTGATGGTGGTGCACACCTTCAATCCCAGTGCCACGGGAGGCAGAGGCAGGGGGATATCCGCGTTCAAGTCCAGCCTGGTCTACAGAGTGAGTTCCAGGACAGCCAGGGCTATAAAGAGAAAGGTAAGAGTAGGTAGGGCCTTGATAAAGTGGAAATTACTTATTCTCAAGTATTTGACTTTCCTATTATCTATTACTCCCAAAGAACTTAAAAAAAAATTCCTGTTTTATATAATAACAGTTTTCATACAGTAAGCAAATTCACATTCAGTTTAAAATATAAATAATACATACAAAATGGATACATTTTTCAAATTAACTACATGGTTTACCATAACCTCTTAGTAAAAAGATAACCATACCAATTACCTTTGAACTTGAGAAAGGAAGTGCTACAAATACATTCCATCAGGACCACAAATGCATGCATATTACATCATCCCAGCAAACGGGGGCCACTGGGCTACCCTACCCTCTGTACCTACTCCTATGCCACACACATTGTTGAAATGGCTATCAACTGCATCCTGACTGTGTCTCCCTCCTAAGCGCTGGAATTACAGATGTGTGCAACCATAGCAAGCTTGATGAAAAAAACAAAAACAAAAAAACAAAAACAAAACAAAAAAACCTGACAGGGTCTCACTGTATAGCCTCTCAATGACTTGGAATTCCATTTGTAGACTATTAGGCTGACCTCAAACTCAAGAGATCCACCTGGCTCTGTCTTGTGAGTGCTAAGACAAAATATGAGTAACACCTTGACTGTCAAATATTCTTTTAAAAACTGATCTGACTTGTTCTATCAATAATTAATGAATGTAACTACTTTTCAGGATCAACACTGCATTTGGAAGTTAGTCCAAATACGGAAAACATCCCCACCCCAAAGAAATAGGCTCTTTCTAGCAGTGACAGTCTTGGAACTCAGTAGACCAGGCTGGCCTTGAACTAAGAGGTCTGCCTGCCATGGCCTCCACAGTGCTGGGATTCAAGGCGTGCAACACTCTGCCCGGCCGAGGTAAACATTCTTAATGTAATGACATAATGACAATGCAGAGACAATGGGATAAAACTGTATCTGTCTGGGCCTGGGTTTACTTTTTAGTTGTTTCAATTAGCAACAATAGGATTCAGGCAGGATGGAGGCCAAAGCAGGCAGACCTCTGTGAGTCTCAGGCCAGCCTGGTCAACACAGCAAGTTCCCAGCCAGCCAGGGTTACTGAGTGAGATCCCATCTCAAAAAACAAAAACAAAAACCCACCAACAAATAAATAAACAGAGCAGCAGAGGAAATGAAATGTATGAATCAGTAATGCACTTGCCTGGTAAGCATGGGACCTGAGTTCAAATTCAAACAAGCACCCAGTATGCTTACAATCCTAGCAATGGTGAGGTGTGAGCAAACCACACACAGGTCCCCCAGATGGTCATGGTCAAGGTGGCCTGGCCAATGCACCTAAGTGCCAAGTGACAGGCCTCGTTTCAAACGTAAGTGTTGGTCACATGAGGCTCTCCACTCAAAGCTGTCCTCTCACCTCCATCCGTTATGCCCACATCCACCCACATGCACACACGCACACACATACACACGCGTACCAAAGCATCAGGTTTTCATAATGCCAGATTTTAAGAATTTACAAAAGTATATCAAGGAACTGACAACTCACAAAGCCACATAAACACAAAGAAATAGCATAGCAGTTAGGACTCAAAACAACTAGGTTTGAATCCAGGATGCACCATGACTACATGAAACCAACTTAATCTCTTGTGTAGTTCAGTTTCTCAGATGCATAATGGGGATAATAAACAAACTCTACCTTAAAAGGTTGTGAGGATTAATGAATGATGCAATGTTTATAAGTTACAAGACTAGACAGTGAATATTGTACAAATATTCACCAAATAAAAGAAAAAATTAGAAAAAAAAATATATAAAACAACCCTTAGAATGTACCTAATTTAAGAAAAAAAACGTCAGTTGAGTATGGGGTACACACCTAAAATCCCAGTATTTGGGAGGTGGAAGCAGAAGGACAGTTTAGGGCTAGCCTGGGCTATGTGTGACTCTGAAAAACTTAGCCCCCCCCCCCAAAAAAAACAAAAGCCTAAGGAGGGGGAAGAGAGGTAGGAAAGGAGGAGGAGGCGAGTCACACTGTGACAGGTGGAGGACAAGGGCAGACTGTAACCAATATTCAATTAATTCCTTCTCTTTGTTTTTCAAAGGAGACAAAAGAATTACAGCCTTAAAGAGACTCCTCAGGAGCCATCCGTAACCATTTTCTCTGAGATAAGGTCTTTAAGAGAGATACAGGGGGTTTCTCAAAAAGTACACACGCAACACAAATATAAGACAAACATCTCCTACCTGGCAAACATTCTCCTTGAGTGCTGCCCCTCCACCTCGTTCACCCTGCAACTTTTTGGATGCAGACATCCCGGGATCGTGCTCTACACCGTCTTCAAGAAGCTCCTTGGGGCTGGCAGCCGTTCTGTGAACCATCAGCTCTCCCTTGCAGAGAAAAAACAAGGCCCCACGTCTGTATTATTGATGTCTCCTCCATCTGACCCCTCCGCCCTCTGGGCTGCTATTTGTCTAGCCATTAAGCACTTACAGATGTTCAGCCAATCACGCGGGCGGACTGCATGCAATGTTAGTTCTAACCCTGCTGTGATTGGACGGGTAGTGGGCGCCTCATGCCCTGCCACTAACTGCTCTGAGGCTGTTCCACTGGAACTTTTTGAGCTGTTCCATTTAAAGGTTTCACTAAGGGAGAGAAAACATTCTTAAGTTTATTTGATTACTTATTTATCCTTCCAAGATCCGTGTTTCCTAGGCAATGCCCCCTTGGGCATTCTATTCAAATTAGAAAGAAAACACTCAGCAACAGCAGCATCTGTGATGCTCACTCACTAAATCTAATTCTATTTTTAACTTGAATTCAAAAGCTATACATAGCATCAATGACTACATTGATGCTCTGTAAAGACAGTTTTAAATGCTTGTCAAAAGCTGATGTTTATAAACATCCCAAATTAAGCAACTGATATCAAGAAACAAGCATGTGGAATTTCCCCTTAACTGCAGCAGTCTTCACTTTTACAGGGCATTATCTAGGTTCATTCAGACTATTTGGTTACTTAGGCTGTACTCTCTTGTTTTAGAACTACTTTACGTACGTATACTGTATCTGCTATCTCAAGCACAGGATATTGTCTTTTAATGGGGCCATTATCTAAGTTGCAATATGTATTTTGCTAGGATTGGGATCTCTATAAAGTCAAGATTCTTTATACCTAATTAATCATCTCAGTAGAACACTATTCTTAGATGGGGTGGGGGGGCTTCTAGTGTGAAAGGTGATTCTCAGAGGAAGATCAGGAAGTGAGGAACTGAGCAATACCTCAGCGCATGAAGCCTCTCTGGAGGAGCCCTCCTTTTTCACTTTTTTATAGTGCACTTTGGCTGTAACATGCCTCTGTCGTTTTCGTTTTCTTGGTTTATCAAATATCTTGGTTGTGCCTGCAACAGGAAAACAAATGTTACCTAGTTAGCTAGCTACTCAAATATATGACCAACAACTTTTATCCTTAAATTAAGGATCCTTAAAATTTTTGGTAAATTAAAGTAAAACCTAACTTAAAATTTATAACTGAAATGTCTAGAATATTTAAACAGATGTATCATTCATTCATTCATTCATTCATTCATTCATAGGAGAGAGTCTCTCCTGGCTGTAGATTGGAGAGGACACTTGCCTGTACTGGGATTAAGGTGTGTACCATCATCCCCAGCAGTAACACGTTTTATCTTCTTAGAAAACTATTACTTAAGACATAAAGCTAAAAGCTGGTATTTTTTCCTCCAAACAATCATAGCTTTGGTTATTTGTAACTTAATCACTTAACAAAAAGGGCCAATAAAGGAAGAAATAGCAATAAAACAATAAATTTCAAAAACATTTTCCTTATTTAATGTGTTTAAGTGTATGCCTGGATGTTTGTGCACACGGGGCTGAGGGTGGCTTGAAAAGGATGCTGTATTTCCCTGGAGCTGAAAGTAGGCAGTGTGAGTGCTTTGAATGGGTGCTAGGAACTTATTCCAGCAAATTAAGGTGGGAGACAGGAATGGTGGTTCACACATGTAACCCAAGCACTGAAGGAGGCTAAAGAAAGAAGATATGTATTTGTAGCCAGGCTCAGCTATACAGTTAAATTCCAGATAAGCCCAGACTTTAAGTGTCATAAAGCAGAAAATAAGTCAAAAAAGAATGAAGATGGAGACAGGCAATAATTGTGTAATGGAGGCAGGAAATGGCCGCCTTACACTGTGAGACTAAAATTAGGGTCATTTAGTGGTAGGACGCCTTTTAACATTCAACACTTACAATGAATGTCACCTCATCCGGCACAAGTAGAAAAAGAAACTATAGTTCCTTATTTACATTCTTTGTTATAGAAACACCAAAGGAAATATAAACAGGCATTTCATAACATGTTCTATGATACTTACCAAGTTAGTTAAATCTTCAGTATGTGAGATCAGTGTTTAACACGCACTCAGCACTCAACAAATACTTGCCGTGTCTTAGAATACAAAGCCCTTAACACTATTCTGAGGACCCAGACCTGCTGCACCCGGTGAGCTGGCTACTCCCTGAGGTCACCACCACCTTCTCTACACCACTCCTGCACATCCTTTTCAGGTAGCAGCATCTTCTTCAGTTATTTCCAGCAGAGCTAAATAGACCTTGCCCATGTCCGACATACACTGCTTTAATATTTTACAATGGTGATGTGTTAACACTAAAATTTTCTCCTGTGACTGGCTGCCTTAAGGAAGCAAGGTGTTAGTAAATCTTTCCACTTCCATGCTAATCCGGAAGCCTAACTCACTGAACAAAGTGTCCCTATGCTAATCCGGAAGCCTAACTCACTGAACAAAGTGTCCCTGCTGCTCCAGGCTTTCTCAGGGATATCTCCCTGACCTCAGAATAGCCTCCAAGAGCTTCTGAGGGTTTATCAGGAATTCTGAAAAACATTCTGAGTGCTGGCTATGGAGATACACAGAGCTTCTAGACATTTGACAGTCATGCCCAGCTTTGGTGCATTTTCATCTTGGAGTATATCCACTATTTTCTCATTTACTTTTATTTTTTTGTTACAGGGTCTCACATGTCCTTGGTTGGCCCAGAATTTAATATATGCAGACCAGGCTGGACTTGAACTAGCCTTTTGTGAGCTATGCTTAGGAGCATGCACCACATACCAGCTCTTTCTATTTGTGTGTACATAGACTCACTGAAGACAGGCAGAGTTACTAGACCTTTTGGAGCTGGAGGCAAAAATGTTGGTAAGCTGCTCCATATGGGTACAGGATCTCAGAGTAGTAAATGCTCTTAACTGCTGTCACTACTTCTCCAACCCTTGCTTTCACCATTTAAAAAAAAACTTTCCTCTAATTTTAAAGTGCTTAAGTGCAGAATTATAAAATGCAGAAGTAAAAAATTTCCATCATCTTTTACTTTAAAACTCATCTGAAAGAGCATATTACAGACCTTTAAAATGCAATTGACATTGTGGTTAGCTTTTTCTATCCAAAGTATGTTAACTTGCTTACTATATAGTATTCCATTTCCTTACCATACATACTCTATTTGAACTATTTTAGGCTGTTTCATTATGCTCTGCTATAATCAGTGCTGTAGTCGCACTTTTTTTTTTTTTGGTGTGGTTTTTTGTTTTTCACAATGGGGTTTCTCTGTGTAGCCCTGGCTGTTCTGAACTCACTCTGTAGACCAGGCTGGCCTCAAACTCACAAAGATCCATCTGCCTCTGCCTCCAGAGGGCAGAGATTAAAGGTGTGCGCCACCACCATCTGGCTTGCAGTTACAATCTTTATCCTCCTATCATTAGAACAGTTTTTTTCTGATGTTCTAGAACAGGTCTTACTCTGTGGCTCAGGCTGACATCACACCAATGGCAGTCCTTCTGCTAAATCTTCCAGAATGCTGAGATCACAAGTATGTGCCATCAAACCATCTGGTACCAAGGATTTAACAAACAGTGCTTCTTGCATGTTTGGCAAGCACTCTGCCAAATGAACTCTACCTGTGGTCCCTAAGCTTAGTGTCTTAACAAAGACAAGGATTTACACAGCTTACACAGCATAGGCCTTTTCTTAAAGGGGGATAACATTCCAAAGACTGTGTAATCAGACTTAAGAGGCAATGTCAGCCTGCCTACTCAGGGAAGTCCTTGGACAATGATCCCAGAGTCAATTAGTTTTTTGCTTGGATTACTGACCTCAAGCTCTCTGGTATATTCTGTAACTGTGGCATTCCTGACTTAATAGGACAAGACATAGACTTTGAAAATCATGACCTATTTATACCTATGGATAATTTAATAAGACTTAAGGCTGATACCTACTTTAGCATTTGTAGTATAATTTGTTTGGATATCAGATATAATTTTAATAGAGTAGCAATGTTGTACACAATACTTAAAAATGGTTTGTCTCTTCAAAATAATTCTATCATCTGTTCACAAATGCTGTGTGTGTAGGTACAGACATACTATAGCACACAGAGAACAGAGAAGGGGCCTGGCAATCAAAGGTAAGATTATCAAGACATGCAGAAACTGCCTTTAGCCACTAAAGACATCTTTACTATACCTGATCTGCAATCTTAATTCAGTTAAAATACTTTATACTGCACAAGAACAAACAACTGGTATTAAAAACATCACTCTAAAGCATCTGTCTAAAAGTCACATTATATATGCTGGGTATATAACTCATGTGGGTATAGGTTGTCTGTCAGAACCCTTAACTAGCTCTGCATGGTCCCACATCCTAGCATCTGAGAGGCTGAGACAGGTGGATGTCTGTGAGTTCAAGGCCAGCCTGGTCTATTAACTGAGTCCCAGGGCAGTCAAGGCTACATAATGAGACCCTCTTTTAAAAAAGAAACTTTACTGTACAGTTTGCACAGTGTTCAGTTCTTGATTCCAGTCTGGCTGTCAATAATCACCTCAAACAGTAAAACTCTGGACTCTTAGATTTCATCTTACCATTTCTTCTTAACATTCTTGATGCTGTTTTTGTTTTCTCCTTGTTTTATTTTTGGTTTTTCTAAACAGGGTTTCACTGCAGCCCTTGTGGTGATATTTGTTTATGATATGCATGAATATCAGAGTGCAGAGCTAAGCCACTAGTTAGCCATAGAAGCCAGGCAGTGGTGGCACACACCTTTAATCCCAGCACTGTGGAGGCAGAGGCAGATGGATCTCTGTGAGTTCAAGGCCACCCTGGGCTACATGAGACTGACTCTGTCTAAAAGAGAAACAGAGCTCACACAAAGGTGACCCCAGCCCTTGGGATCCCAGGCCTTTAATCCCAGCACAAGGGAGGTAGAGACAGGGGTGATATGGCTGAGCTGAGAGAGGAATATAAGATGGGAGGAGACAAGAGCTCAATGCAGTCTGAGCAGCCAGTCTGAGGACAGGATCACCCCTTTGGCCTGAGCATTGGTAGAAGTAAGGACTCTAGTAGCTGGCTCTCCTGCATCTCTGATCCTTCAGCTTTCACCACCAACTCCCATAGCTAACTCTGGGTTTTTATTATTAAGACCAATTAGAATTCATGCTACAAGCCCTGCCTATCCTGGAACTAGTTCTGTTGACCAGGCTGGGCTCGAACTCAGAGACCCACCTGCCTCTGCCTCCCAAGTGATAGGATTAAAGGGATGAGCCGCCACACTAGGCATTTGTGCTTAACCTTTATGTGCTCTTAAAATCAGATTTATTGTGAACAAATCTGTATCTACTTTAAAGTACTAAAATCAGGAGTGGGGAGGAATCTTTAAAAAAATAAAAAGTTCCAAGACATTTAGACATAATTAATGAGACTATTATCAATACTACTGTTACTGATCTTTATGGAGATGAGAAGTTACTAGAATAGGTAATAGTCCAAGAAAAATTAAGGTAAGGATAGTTTGTCTTTCTACTGAAAGTGCTAAGGAGGGAATTCATGTCTCATGTACAGTGGGCAAAAGTGCTCTATCATGAGTTAAGAGTTATTTGTCTTACATAGCTGACTGGCCTGGGATGCACTACAGAAACCAGGCTGGCCTTTAACTCTCAGAGACACACCTGTCTCACCTCACCAAGCAGTGGGGTTATCAGTGTATCCTACCTTGCCCAACTATAGGTACAAAATCCTTATGCACTGAACCATGTAGGTGAAATTTGCAAAGAACAGAGCTTATAAAGGTTTTATTTATTTTTAATGTGCATTGGTATTTTCCCTGTAAGTACATCTGGGTGAGGGTGTAGGGTCCCCTGAAACTGGAGTTGTTATGAACTGCCATGTGGGTGCTGGGAATTCAACCTGGGAACTCTGGAAAAGCAGACAGTATTCTTAACTGATGAGTCATCTCTTCAGTCCCCAGCTTATAAAGGTTTTTAAAAATAAATAAAACAAAACATTAAGGTAGCAGAACAGAACTGACATTATCTTCAAGCCATTTATGTTAAAAGCTAGCAAACTGATGGACAGGCGATTCTAATTGCCCATGACTGAAATCACCAACTCATTTGCTAACATACTTAACAACAATGGATCATGGTCTCAGAAATGTACATCCAAGATTTTGCCAGCAGAGCAAATTTAGTGCCATGTGCTCAAATTTCAATAATGACTCTAAAGTCAGAACACAGTTTGTGAAATTTAAATTGAAAGAAAAACAAGCCCTTAAGAGTCATTATAGGGGATAGGCTTGGTAGCACATGCCTTTAATTACAGCATTTGGGAGGCAAAAGCAGACAGATCTCTGTGAAGTGAGAAGCCAGCTTGATCTACATTCAGTTTCAGTACAGCCAGGACTAAATAAAGAGACCCTGTGTAAAAAAACAAACAAAGAAACAAACAGGACGGTGACAGCTATATCTTCAAAACAAAAGAAACTTCTACAGACTGGTCTACAGAATGTGTACAAGGCCAGTCAGGGCTACAAAGTGAGACTATGCCTTTAAAAAGGACAATTCAACTACCGGATAAGGAAATGGAGAATTCAAGCTGGAACTGAGTGGTGAGCTTCCTCCATGTTAGCCAGCTTTCACACTGCTAGGAGGTCCCATCATTGTGCTAGGGAAGCTACAGAGCTTGCCAAACCAGATATGCCTACTGGCACCAAAAACAGTGACATGACTAGTCTAATAGTGGAGTAACCAGCCACTTCTTGAATGGATTTGAGGCCTGCTCCACTGGATAAAATTCCTAATTGGTGCTATAAAAATAATCAAAAGCCCTTGACTAGGAAGGTCACAGGCCTAAGAAGGGAGGAAGAGAATACCTTAGTTTGTTGTTTTTTGTTGTACAACATGTTGCCAAGCTACTTTCTAATGTCTATGCTTATACCCATAGATCAATGTTGCTTTTAGCCTTGAGCAGAGATTTCTCTTGCAGTGGGTAGTAGTTAATACAGACAACAGGTCAAAGTACAGAAAACCAGTGGCTGTCAAAAGAGTACTGAAGCCTAACTAAAGAGCACATCAACATCAACCCAACTAAAGACTGGGAAAGACTGTGAAATAAGGGACAGAATGACTGTCAGAGCCAGGGAAACAAAGAATGCTGTTAAACTCTGTCTTCTAGATATGGCATGGCCACTATATTCATGAACTCATAGCAGCTATGATTATGGACATAAAATGGGTTCTGTCAACAATCCATGAAGTAGGGAGGGACTTATGAGATCCCCCACCTTTCCCGAAGGAATTACTCAAAGCTAATAACAGCTGAGGGGAAAGTATTTTTCTTCATGGTATACAATCTAGTACCTTGCCCATTTCCTGTCATTAACACCCCACCTATGTTCATGCAGAAAGCTAACTGAAACCACTATGTCATGGGGAAAAACAACAACAACAACAACAACAACAACAACATGAATGTGGCTGGGGATTCATGGGGCAGAAGATTACAGTGAGGACAGAAAAGGAGGGAGCTACAATGGAACAGGACAAACATGTGCTCTCTCTTTCAAGCATATGCTAGCTGATCAATGGTCACTCATGTACCAGAAAAAACTAATGACAATTTAGATGTGATAATAAACACTAAAACAATTTCTGAAGGGCAACTCAGATGATTTATGATTTTCCTCTCAAACTGTACTAACAAAGAAATCAAAACTGGAAAAAACGCTATAAAATTAACGGTACAACCTAGAGAATTAGACTGCTTAAGAAAATTAAGAAGGAATTTATATTTCACAATTGGTCGAAATATTTCCTTACTAAAAAAAAAAATAACTGAACTTCATTTAAGTAGTAACAGCACAAGACTTAAAAACAGCTGTAGATTCCTATGGCTTTCAGAAAGCATACCGTGGTCAGAAAGTCTCAAAACTATAATTGTGCTGGTTCATAACTTTATACGTGAAAGCACCTTTCCAGTCAATAATGTACTTTAAATTTGTCTGCTTTACATTTTCTTAATATCAAAAATACTCACCTCCACCAAATGCTTTCAAATGAGAAGTAGCCCGTGAGTCAACAACGCCGTTCTCCAAGCGACCCACCTCAAAGCACTGTAAGTAAGCAAAAGCAATGGGATTTACTCACATACGGAAAACTGTTCTTTAGCACCTCCTGCGCCAAAGTGAAGGAGAGCTACTGCCATAGCAACAAATCCTGGGTTATTCTGGCAACTTCTACTATCAGCATAATACTTTAAGCACTCAGGAAGCTGAAGCAGGAGGACCACAACTTATAGTTGGAGATTGGATAACGAGATGTTGTCTTAAAGCAGAAGAAATAAAAAAATAAAAAATAAAACAGCAAAAGACAAGGATCATACTGGCTGTGGCGGTGCATCAGGAGTTCAAGGTCACCCTCAGCTACCTAGGGAATATTAAGCCATCCTGTCTACATGAGAGCCTGTCTTAATTCTGTGTTTTCACATGTAATATGCATAGATACACACACATACACACACACACACACACACACATAAACTGAAGCTTCAAATGAGAAACAAGTATGAAATACTTTGCCAGAACCATGCCATCACATACAAGGACCCAACCCCCTCTGTATGACCAAGTTTAGTGTATGTCCTGTTATACTACACCAAACAGAATTGACAAACTCACTCAATGAACACTCAACAGTAAAACGACTCAAAATCAAGGAATAACATGACAACTTACCACTACAGATTAAAGTTATCATTAAATCCCAAAAATGAAGTGGAGAACTCTATTTGGAAGGAGAAAGGGGATGAATGGGGGGGGGGGGGGGGGGGTTGCTACGGGGTACTGGAAGCAGAATGGAAGAGGGGAAGGACTTGGAGCAATGGACAATGTAACACAGGTACCAAAATGTCATAATTTAGCCCATTACTTTGTACTAAACCTCAAAGTTTAGAAAAAGGAAAGAAAACAATACCTGGCTATAGTCCTTAAATAAATGATATACTATTAATACGAAAATAAGCACTTCCAGGGAAGAGGTGGTGCATGCCTTTAGTTCTAGTATTTGGGAGGCAGAGGCAGGTGGATCTCTGAGTTCAAGGCCAGCCTGGTCTACACAATGAGTTCTAGGACAGCCAGGGCTACGCAGAGGAAATCCTGTCTCAAATAAATAAATAAATAAATAAATAAATAAATAAATAAATAAATAAGAAAAAGAAAAGGAGAGAAAGGAAAAGGAACACCCAAACAGGGTGATCTTTTGGCTGTAACACTGCTGTTACACCCACACGGCAGCTGCAGCTCAGTGTCAAGAGTCTCTGCCCACCACGTATGAAGGCCTGGGTAAATAGAGTCCTAAGCTTCTCGTAAAAATACAAATGCAAAACTCCCAAGCACTATGGCACATGCCTATAATCATGCCTAAAATTCCATCACTTAGTAGGTTAGGGCAGGAGGACTGATAGTTTGAAGTCATCCTAGGATATACAGATGACTCTGCCATAAATAGTTATTTTTCTTCAAGAAATTAAGACATAATGTTACATTAGGTGGAAAAAGGTACACAGGCTGCATACAAAGACCATGTCTCAAAATAAAAGTAATTAAAATGAAGTATAAAGCACAAATACATTTTTTAACAAGTCAAATGAAATAAGCTGGCATGCAGAAAAAATTAGCCTTAGAACAGGATTATAACACTTAAGCTTGCTCCAGTTAAGCAAGGACAGAAGCATAGAAACTATGATTTTATAATATTTTTATATCTTTCTGAGACTCACTGGAAATATTTTGTGTTATTGGGGAGGAATGTGTGCATGTAGCTACAGGGGATGAAGGAGGTCAGAGGAGTTGGTTCTTTCCCTTCCTTCATGTGTTTTGAGAATCAAATTCAGGTCAACAGGTGTGGTAGTAAGTCCTTTACTCTCTAAGCCATCCTTCCAGCCAGACTTCTAAACAATCAATACCAGTCATTTTTGATAATAGAATTACACTATCACTAAAAAGCAACCCTGTAACTGCAAAATCATGATTTCAAATATTTGAACTTAAAGAGATTATAATACAGCTAAGTCATTTCTTGGGTGTTATACAGAAATACTATCAAAGTAGACCAGCAGCTTATAAGCACACATAAATGCAGAGTCTGACAGCATTCACAAATTCAGACCAGACAAAATCCCAGCACAGAGAAGAGGAGATGGACACCAAGTCCTACTGCTAGTCAAGCAGATATTGCATTTAACTGCTAATGGGTAAGCTGCAGTTAGTTTTATTAATGCAGTAACGCTTGATACATCAAACATACTCCAAGGTAAGCACCAACGCCAGGAATAGTTGGTCAACACAAACCAGACTCCATGTTCTTTTATTTTACTTCCAAAATTATTTATTTGCTTATGAGAGACAGGGAGAAAGAACATGAGGTTGACTGGGTACAGGAGTGGGGGAGCGATCTAAGAGGAATTGGGAGAGGGGAATGAATATGATCAACATACAATGTATATAGATATAGTGTATCAAAAAATAAAGGGAAAAGGGGGGGCAAAATATGTCTGAGAACGCATGCGGAGTACTAGTGAGCTCTCGGCTTAATTTCTAATACTGCAGAAAGGAAAGAAAGAGAAAAACAAAACAAAACAAAAAACACCTGATACCAGCTCACATCAAGGCAATATGTATATATATATATATTGCCCTTACCACTACCCTGCCACAAGGGAAATGTCTGAAATCTTCCCTTTGGATTATTGAAAATACAAATACTACATCTAACTGCTTTCTCCTACATATAGCATAACACATAATAAAATAAAATTTTTAATTGGCCACATGACAAAACATTAAAATAAATTGTGTGAATGTGGGTTCCTTCCTTCTCTTCCTTAAAATATCTTATTTGGGGCTGGAGAGATGGCTCAGATGTTAAGAGCACCGACTGCTCTTCCAGAGGTCCTGAGTTCAATTCTCAGCAACCACATGGTGGCTTACAACCATCTGTCATGAGATCTGGTGCCCTCTTCTGGTGTGCAGATATACATGGAAGCAGAATATTGTACACATAATAAATAAATAAAATCTTAAAAAAAATATCTTATTTGTACGTCCATACCGGAGTTCCTGTCTTGTTCATATATATCTCGTGCATAAGCAGTCCCTCCCTTTGCGTTTTTATGCATGTATTTTACTGGACATCCGCTTCTACGGGGACTATTTTTATCACAATGCAGATTTGCTTTGCACAGTGCTTCTCACTAATCAACTTCCCCAGCTCTGCTGAAAAGCTGGTCTCCACTTCTGCACCAGTAGACAATGCTTCTCCAGCAATTCTTAGATATTCCAGTCCAAACCTATTCTTAAATCTCTGTAGCTAAATTTTATTTACAATACATGTCTGTGTTTTGCCTTTTCCAGTTATTTTTATAATAGCTCAATTCTCATAACACACCTCTATGCCATTAAGTGGAACACATTTTCTGGTTTGTGTGTTCTACCCTCAAATGCAACACCTTTTCCATTTTCACTGGGCACTTATTACACACTTCTAGCTGTAACTTCTATAGTTTGGGGGATATCAAAAGTTTCACAAATTTCTTTTTCTTTATAATATCATGGGTAGATGGTTCATTCTTAATATACTTCTCAGCAAGCTCAACATACAGTTTTCTTTCATTATTAACTCCAGAACATTGACCTTTCCACTTAAAGAAAGCACTTACCAGTCTCTTTAGTATGGCCAAGATGCCACCATCACCACACTTGCACTTTGGAACCATAGCAGGTCAAAGGATTACTTGAAAGCAAACATTATGATACTGTGAACTAACCGGGTAACCCACGCAAGACATAGATGGGCAGCCTGGACAAAGGGTTATTCACACCCAGAGCATAAGATACCATGCCTTGTTATCTTATCACACCCTATTCATAACACACGCGTTTTAAATGTAAACTGTGTACTTTTTGAATTTGCCATTTAATACTTTCAAAGTACAGTCATTAGTTACTTGGAACTGTGGCAAGTGAAACCACAATTAAGGAAAGATGACTATGCATATCAATGTTAAAAATACTACTAAAAATGCAATTTTTAAATTATGTATTTCCTAGGTTTAGGCCTATTTTAGATTTGACAAAAATAACATACCTTTCTAGAAAGGCCAAGATCGCCCTTCTTGGGCATAAATCCAGGGTCTAAATCATTGGATTCAAGAAGTTTCTTAGTTGGTTTTCTTTGACGCTTACTTTCATAATTTCCTGAAATGCACATAATTTTCCTTAGATACAAGCTACTTTTGAAAAATGAAAATCTATATTAATATGAGTCACAATCTTGTTTGCATTTTTCATCATGTAAGAAGGGAACACTAAGAATGTATTATTCTAAAATACTGCTTACTAAAATACATTAAATATTACTCAATGAAGACACACATTAATGTATGATGACTGTGTATATGTGTGGACCACAGAATATAGACAAAATTAAAAGGGCTAATGTACATTTATAGCAATCACTTGACAGTGAAGATAAGTAAAGTAGAGCTGGATTCTGGGCACAAATGAAGCAGAACTACGTAGTTCAAGACCTTCAAAATAAGTTAAGACAAAGCCAGGCAGTGGTGGTGCAAGCCTTTAATCCTAGCAGTTGGGAAACAGGCAGGAGAATCTCTGTGAAGCCAGCCTGGTGTACAGATTGAGTTACAGAACAACCAGGGCTGCACAAAGAGAAACCCTGTCTTAATCACCCCCCTAAAAAAAAAAAAATGACAAAAGAGAGAGGGAGAAAAAGTACAACAAGCTGGGTGTGGTAGTACACCTTTTAATCCCAGCACTCCAGATTAAAAGCGGGAAAATCTCTGGGTTCAAGAACAGTCTGTTCTACCTATGGAGTTCCAGGACAGCCAGGGCTATAGAGACACACACATTCTCTCTCTAAAAAAGGAAAAAGTTAAAAATAAATAATCCTACCATATAACTGTATTCACAGGCTCACACATACACACGCACGCATGTACATGTTTGTATGATACAGTACTTATTCCTGATCTTTAAAACTTATCTTTTAGTTTGGTGAGATGGCATAGTGTATAAAATCACTTGGTGCCAAGCTTGACAAGTTAAGTAAGTTTGATCCCAGAACACACGTAGTAAAAGAAAACAGTCTTCCTAAAAGTTGTGAACTCCACAAATGTATGATGATATGCTCTCACATTCGTGCATGTATACAAAAATACACACACACACACACACACACACACACACAATTAAAAATCTTTTGGGGGGACTAGAGAGAAGGATCAGTGGTTAAGAGCACTGACTGCTCTTCCAGAGGTCCTTGAATTCAATTCCCAGCAACCTCATGGTGGCTCACAACCACCTGTAATGACATCTTGCGCCCTCTTCTGGCACGCAGGCCTACATGCAGGAAGAACAATGTATACAAAATAAATCTTTAAAAAAAAATCTTTTAGGGGTTGGACATGTAGCTCAGTGGTAAGGCACTTGCTTAGCATGGCAAAGATTAAGGTAACATAACATAAAACAACACAAAAATCTATTGGAATCCACTTTACTGTAGTAATAACTAGGTTTTGGTTTTGGTTTTAAGGAAAAATACCAGTAGCTAATGTTGGGATTGTATAGATACTTATTAATCTAAATGTCAGGACATGGAAGAGTTCTCCTCACTCCCTGGTTGCTTACACAAAACCAAACAATCAGAGGGAGGTAGAAATAGGATTGTTTAGATTTAATTTTCCCCAGGGGATATAGTAAATAATGAAATGAGAACCAGCTGGAAATGAACTTCAAGGGAACAATGAAACTTACTAGATACTGTGTTTTCAGAATTCTAATGTTACACATTAATTCCTTTTATGCTGTTGTTAGGGTATCCCTGTAGAGGCCAGAGGTGAACTTTACAAGCTGTTCCTCAGAGGCCATCCATCTTGCTTCCAGGGATGAAGTTTCTCACTGGGGCTAAGGGCTCACCAATAACACAAGGCTGTGTCTGGCATTAGAAACACGCACCACTACACTTGGAATTTTAATGGAGGCCCTGGGGAGTAAACTGCAGCAGTCACTTTATCAACTGAGCTATACCCCAGCTTCAATTATGGCCAGCTTATATACACAATGAAACAATTTTAGAGACTAAATAAATTTCCAAGGAACACATGAACTGGTAGGACTAGTAAGTGAAAGAAACTAAGGTATCACTGGGTGGTGGTGGTGTACACCTTTAGTCCTAACACTTGGGAGACAGAGGTAGTTGCATCTTCTGAGTTCAAAGACAGCCTGGTCTACAAAGCGACTTCTAGGACAGCCAAAGCTACATAGTGAAACCCCGTGGGGGGGGGGGGGGGGGGGATAGTACACAGTGCTCTGCTGCATGTTTGCCTGTAAGCTAGCAGAGGGCAGCGGTCTCATTATAGATGGTTGTGAGCCTCTATGTGGGTACCGGGAATTGAACTCAGGCCCTCTGGAAGAACAGACAGTGCTCTTAACCTCTGAGCCATCTCTCCAGCCCAGGTTTCACGTTCTTATTCCACTAGTGTGCTGGTTCACACTGCAGCTCATCAATAGTCATGAAGGGACAATTAAACAAGGTAGTTTCTAAAAGCATCTCCTTCACAGTGTTCCATTTGTGGTCAGAAGCTATATCAAATTAGTCACTATTTTTTAGGGATTTCCTCCAACAAAATTGTTTGTTGTATGCAGTAAAAGACGTTTGATTACAACAAAACAAAGGTTTCCTGCTGCATCCAGTCTATCTGCTTATACACTGAGACCCCACCCCCACCTTACCTGGTGGCTTAACAAGCAATTCCTCAGACTCAAGGGCAGGCCGCGGAGAGACTTCTGGAGCCACAGGAACAGATAAGGTCAGCTGTGGCAACTCAGCATGTCCAACTCCAAGATCTGACTGAGCCAAGGGCCCTTCCAAAAACGGAGCCTCTCTTTCAAGAACTGGAGGCTCTTCTTTAGTTGAAATCAAAGAGTTCTCATCCACCTGCTTGTTCTGAGCACTAGAGCGACATCGGGCAAAAAGGTTTTCGTCTTCACAGCGGGAACTTACCTAAAAACAGAAGGTACAAATAGAATACACAGACCAACTGTTAGAATTTTAAAAACGGGGGCACCAAAAAATAGAAGAGACTCTGAGTTGGTGATGGTGGCACAGCCTTTAATCCCAGCACTGGGGAGGCAGAGACAGGTGGATCTCTGTGAGTTAGAGGCCAGCCTGGTCTACAGAGGGAGTTGTAGGGGAGCCAGGGCCACACAGAGAAACCTTGCTTCAAACCACCCACCAAAAAAAGAAAAGAAAAATATAATATTGGAAATAATAGGAAGGGGGATTATTTGGCCAGTAACTATTGCTTTTTCAGTTTAGGAAAATAAAAACTTCTGGAGATAAACGAGACTTATGGCTATGTAACAGCATAACCATGATTACTGTTATAGAACTGTATACTTACAAGAGCTACTATAATAGACTTTGTCAAATATTTTAGCATAATTAAAAACAAAAATGCTTAAAATTTAAACTTCATGATGATAAGCCAAAGAAAAGGGGGGGGGAATCAAAATTTCTCCTGATATTACCAATTAAAACTAAACCTTTTGATTAAAGAAACACTTATCTTGCTTTTAAGGAATTTCAAAGTTTAATAAAAAAAGACTGTGGAGCTTAAGATAGAAAAAAAAAGACTTAAAAAATGTCTTTTTATTTTATAACCATTAATAAAATTAGCAGACCAGGTTCTTCAGCACTTTTTTTAAACCACAGTAATGGCTAATAGGGCATAAGACATTCCTTTGCTACTAAACACATACATACTGCTTACTCACAAATATGTAAAATAAAGCTAAAGAGATCAGTCAGCACGATGACAACTGTAGTTCACTAAAAATTACAGTTAGGGCTGTGAGTGCCTTTAGTTCCAGCACTTGGGAGGCAGAGGCAAGTGCATCTCTGTGAGTTCAAGGCCAGCCTGGTCTACAAATCGAGTTCCAGGACAGGCTTCAAAGCTACACAGAGAAATCCGATTTCAAAAAACAAAACAAAACAAAACAAAACGGATAAAACTATATATTTCTATTTCATTATCCAGGTTCTTAATGTTAAATCATAACAATATTCCTAAACACTTAATACTCTTCAAAAGCCTATAAGCCAGCAGAGGACAGGCAGGCAGGCAGGCTGTGCTAGAAGCTAACAGTAAACAAGAGAAAATACAAAACAAACAACAGAGACAGCAAGATCCAGTTAAAGCAGCGACTGTCTTCTGGTAACAAACACGACACTACAGGAGAAAGCTCCCTCTTCTACAATGCTGGCGCATACCTTGTGCACTTGTTCCTGCACCTTCTTGTGTTTTTTCTTAGGAGCAAATATCTGATCATATTCTTCTGTGTATTCCAGAAGCCACTTGCTTGGCTTCCTAAGGCGTTTCTTCTCTGACCGAATAACTAAGAGAGAAAATAATTTCATTATTAATTAGTTAATTAAACCCACTCAGGCTCAAAATGATTTTAAAAGATGTAACAGGATTCTGGCTTGAATAATAAAAAGCTTGAAATTATTTGCTATGGTTTATGAAAATCAAAAGTTGGAAGAGGGGTTTTTATTACTCTATATAAACTAAACTCCCCATACACACAATCCTCCATTAGTAAGGAAAAGATTAAGCTTAAGTCAGAATTATGTATGGCAGTACAAAGTTAGCATATATCTATAATAGAGACAGTGCTAGTTGGGTAAACTAGAGGGAGTATCTGATTCTCTTCTGAATAAGAAACACCTTAGGAACTGGGAATGGTGGCTAAGGCAGGAAGACTGCTGCAAATTCAAAGCCAGCACAGGCTACAAAGTTGTTTCATGCCAGCCTGGGCTGAAGAATGAAACTTTGTCTCATAAAACAAACAAGCACAAAAACACAAACACCTTAGAGAGCCAAGCTTATGTCTTCTACAAGGACATACAACCTAAGAGGGTCAGGGATTTGATCCATTTCTCCTCCTCAGTCCCACTCTGCCCCGGTTTTAAGACATTTACTGTTACAATAGTGTAACCAACTGTAGAGTGAAGACATAGTAACAAATGAATGACTTAAAAGCCAAAAGATACTTTCTTTTTCTTCCATCTATATAATACCACAACTCTCCACCTTCATTCTCCCCGAAGATAGAATGCAACACAGTTATGACAGTTACAACACTTTGGATACTTGGATGAATATAAAGAATTTCCCTAATCCATTTCCTCTTTTTAAAACTTTTGTTTTGTTTCTCAAAAAACAAAAAGGGCTTGTCTGTGAAGCCCTGGCTGTCCTTGATGCAGGTGGTCAACATCAGAACAAAAGGAAATGATTTTGCAAGTTAAGAAAAAGGAAAATCAAGAAAAAAAATGGATACGACACAACCTTTTGAATACTGGAGGGCAACAGTAAGAGTCAAAGACAAGCAAATGACCATACGAGGCTTTATACAGGGTGAGCAGCAACAGTCAACAACCCAGGAGCTGAAACTCATCAGCACTGAAATTCTCAGCAAAGAAACAAGCTCTCATTCCTATTCTACAAGGATACACATTCAAAAAAGAAAACATTGTATTGTAGAGAATGATCTGGTAAGTCTAGCAATAGCATTTAGAGAGCACACACACGATCGAAAATAATAGAACAAGCCAAATGGTAATCAACTTATGAATGGGATGTATATGTATGTATATGTATATATATATACTTATAAACATACATATATACATATATTTAGCTATGCTAAATACTACTGAGCAGTGGTAATAAAATACTGCTGCATATATATCACCACATACAAGACAAATGAGCTCCAGTGTGCTGTCAAGGTGAAAAACAAAGCTAAGAGACTCTACACTATGTGATTCCGCAAACATGAAATGATAAAAGAAAATATTTTGGAACAAAAATTGCATTAATGGTTGTTTGAGCCTTTGAGAAGAAACAGGCAGATGAGTATACACAGGCTAGGGGTAGGGGGCTCTTTCTGGTATGACAGAATGTTCCAGAGAGTTTATGGAAATGAATGTGTATCTCACTGAATTTACTAAGCATCCTACTGTTCAACAATTATCATAAAATGTGCAAAATTTTACAGTATATAAAGTCAATTTTTCAAAAATAAAGGTTCAAAAAGAGGTAGTGCCTAAAATTCCTTGAAATCTCTACCCATTCCTTCCCTTCCTTTTGCTCTATAAAGCCAAGGCTTGACAAGATGATTGGGCAGTGTATCTCTCACTTCTATTTCTGGCCAAGAATCAAAGTTTCCAACTACAATTCATTGTTGAGTAAAGTTGGGGTAGGAACTCAAGGCAAAAAACCAATACAAAAAAAAAAAAAAAAAAGCAGATGTTCATTGTTGCTGGCTCACTGGCTTACAGATCCATGCTTAGCTAGCTAGTGTCTTAAACAGCATAGGACCACTCAGGGACTGGCAGTGCCCACAGACATTCTCAAAAGTCAATCTGATCTAGGCAGTTTCCTCAACAGGGGCTTTCTTCTGAGATTTGTCAAGTTGCCAGTTAAAGCTGAGAGAGCTGGGTGTTTTGTTTTTGAGACTGGATCTCAGGCTGGCCTCAAACTCCCTATGTAGCTGAGGCTAGTTGAACTCCTAATTTTCCCCTAAACTCCCAGGTACTTGAGATAACAGTATGCAACAAAATGCCCAGCTTTTAAGTCATTTTCAAATGTTTTCCAGACAATATTCATCATCTATTTTACACAGAGTAGGGAGCACACACTGAGATGAGCCCCATCACACAGTTCTGATTGGGTTCCTGAGAGCTGGGATTACAGGGGTGTACTACTATGCCTACAGATTATCTTTTTAACACAGCAAAATACCTCTGTCACATATAGTCGTATTTACCCAGTAAAAGGAACCTATTTAACCCTGTCCTGACCCTGACCTACCATCATAAGTTTTGTCTGGTTTTGACTCAGCATTAGGCCAGGCTGGCTTTGGACTGGCGGCACTCCTCTCTCAGCCTCCCAAGTGACAAGATTATAGGCGTGGGCTACTTCGCCCAGTTGGTGTCATAAATTTGATAGGCATCTACAAATTAGAAAATTCACTGTAAATTCCAAAAACCAGGTAAACATTGAGACTATGAATCAGTCTTACTCATGATAAGAGATTTTGTACCATGAAAAGTCCATACTTTATTCCAAAAAAATTTAAGTGACTAGATTTTAAATATATATATATATATATAATAACTCTAAATACAACCTAGATTGGAGAGGTCCTGACCCAGTGAAGTTGCTACACACAATTTATGTTCCCAATTCTAAAAAGACAAAAAATTATTTTAAGGTCACTGACCAGAGTAGATGCTAAATTGTCAAAAACTTTACATTGAGTGCTGATTTAACAAATTACAGCAAGCTATAAGAAAAATACTGTGAAATTTAATAAAGCTATCACTATTAAGACAGCAAAAATCATGAGACACATCTAGAAGACAAACTGAATTGCTAAAAGATACAGCTGGAAAGAACAGTAACCTTTTGGGTCTTTTAAATGTTGAATTATGCCAATATATTACCATATTTCACCTTCCAAAAGTTTGAGGATTGAGGATTTATTTATCTCAATTGACAGTGTGAATACCTAGCACTGGGTTCAACCCTCAGCATCACATAAACTTAGGTATGGCAGCAATTCCTGTAATTCTGGGATGGGACTCAGAAAGTGGAGGCACAAGGATTAAGAGTTCAAGGTCAAGGCTGGAGAGGTGTCGCAGAGGTTAAGGACACTGGCTGCTCTTCCAGAGGTCCTGAGCTCAATTTACAGCAACCACATGGTGGCTCACAACCATCTATAAATGAGATATGATGCCTGTTTCTGGCCTGCAGGCAAGGATGCAGGCAGAACACTGTGTACATAATAATAATAAAAAAAAGTTCTAGGTCATTCTTGGCTATATAAAGATTTTGAAATCAGCTTGGGCTACACGATACCATGACCCAACAACAAAACTTTATAAATCCAGTAAAAACAAAAATTATATGTACATAAAATATTATAATAAAACATCAAAATATCAATAAATCTTACAATATACTCATATTTATTAGTCATTTCAAAAAATGAAGGAACGCCAGGTGGTGGTGGTGCAGGGCTTTAATCCCAGCACTTGGGAGGCTGAAGCAGGTGGATCTCAGTGAGTTCGAGGCCAGCCTGGTCTTCAAAGAGAGTCCCAGGACAGCCAGGGCAACAGAGAAACCCTGTCTCGAAAAACAAAAACAAAAAAAGAAGGAAAGGATTGTTTCTAGCACTCCTGTGACTTTATTTGCGAACAAAGGCAATGAAAGGAGAAAAGAACATTACAGAAAAAGTAACCGAGTGCAGTCATAGTCAGGGCAGACAGTACAGAAAGAAAACTAACATTACTGGAAGCTGCAAATGAAGGTTTCTAGCCAAAGCCAAAAACATGTAGGCCATGGTCAAGATTGACTTAAGCTAAATACACAATAGTTTTAACCCTAGCCGGCTCCAGCCTAGACCCTAGAATCAGGTGGAGCATTTCAGCCCAAGTCAAAAGTTGTCCATGCTTTTCTTATGTTCCTCTGTAACTCTTCCCACCCCCATGCCTTTTCTGATGACTGATGCACAAACAAACAGAAGCAAACAGCAAGCAGCTGGAAAGGACAGGAAAGAGAGGGGAAGAGCATGAATAGGCTAAGGCTGCCAGAGTAGAGTGGTCCAGATCTTTTGGCTCACCAAGGGAGTACCAAAGCTATTCTCTAAGGGACCCTGGGTTCTACAGACTCCAGCTACCACTGTGGCAGAGAAGTCTCAGTCTGTTTCTTTCCTAGCAGATCATTGCCATGTGCTAGGTAAGATACAACCCTGAACACAACACTTGAATCACAGCACTAACACTACTGAGAGAAAAAGCCTCTTATTTTTAGAATGTGGTAGTGCACACCTATTAAAACTTAGTGCTTAGGTGGAGGGGAGAATTAAAAAAATTCAAGGTCACGTCTACTAAGTGAGGGTACCGAGGGCTAGACAGTTGGATTATGGAGTAAAGGCGCTTGCTGCTAAGCCTGACAACCTGACGTCTACTGGGGCCCACAAGGTGAAAGGAATGAAATGACTCTACCAAGTTGTCTTCCTAAGCTCCTCATTTGTGTTGCACATGTACAAACACATATACCAGCACACAAAATAAACATAACGCAAACTTTTGTTAAAGAATGTTTTAAAAATTACATGTAAAACAAACAAAACCCCAGAAATCTTTTCTTGCCAACAAAGAAAAAAAGCTGATTCTAACTTAAGGATGGGAACTGAATATTCCTAAACCATTCCTTTGTAAATTATGCCTGAGCTAAATAAAGTACACCTTAAAGGAAGCAGACATTGTATAAAAACCATAAGCCAAACCTGATTCTTGTTACATACACAAAATACCTAAACATCCA